CACACACACACACACACACACACACACACACACACACACACACACACACACGTACACACACGCACGCACACACACAAACACACACAAACACACACACACACAAACACACTGTCACACATCCTCTCCTCTACACATAAACATAATGATATAATTGTACACTTGCACTCACAAACAGCGAGCGCCGTAAACTACTTACCTAAAACAAACTCAATAAGAGACTAGCAGTCACATGCACGACATAAGCGAAGAATGATCGTTAACAGCTAGTGTTCAGCTAGATACATAATCCGTATTCTGAAAGGAACTCAATGATACTCCAAACTGTGCTCTAAAAGTCATATTATGTCACCGACACAACACAATCGATATCACATCACTATTAGTATTCCAATCACATCGTCATCAATAACAAATCACTGCTACAACACATCAATCACAACGCAACGCAACGCAACACATCCCACCGGAGCAAGAAAATATCAACTTACCCTACCCATATCCATATCACGACTGACCACACGGAGGAAGGGACACACGACAGCGCACAAAGGAGCACACGAGTGGACACGCGGCAACACACAGAGGGACAGCGGGTCTCTCTCTCTCTACCAGACATGATGACTGATTAATTTTTGAGAACTGAGAACTGCCTGTTCAGCGCGACGCCAGCACCTTTTATACTGAGGGAGACAGAGCGAGGCGAAGCGTACGAAAAATAGGAGCCAAAACTGTCATGGCGGACTTTTCAGATAACCACCGCTCTCCGTTTGCGAATTTTTCGGAATGGAGACAGTCGGTTGGCTGAAAAGTCCGCCATGACAGTTTTCGCAACTTTTCTTCCACCTCGCACGCACTGCTCGGATCGACAGAACCCCTTCTCTTAGGGAGGTATATGGTATGCGGACGACGGACCAATCAGCGGCCAGCTCGTCAGGATAGAGAGAAAGTAGACAGAGGCTTTCTCGGGGTTGCGGCGTGCATGGAGGTATAAGGAATGTGAAGGGAAAAGCGGCCTAGTATCTCTACGTTTAGCTGCTCCGTCCTCAGTCTTGGGGTTACGAGTTTTCTCTCTCTGTACACACATATGGGCGCACATTGTGTGTGAGTGTGTGTGTGTTTGTGTGTGTGTGGTGTGTGTGTGTGTGTGTGTGTGTGTGTGTGTGTGTGTGTGTGTGTGTGTGTGTGTGTGTGTGTGTGTGCGTGCATGCGTGCGTACGTGCGTGCGTGTGTGTGCCAGTGCGTGTGCATTCGACTGCGCATTACTACGCTTATGTGCAAAGATATGCTAAAAGGAGAGGATGTGTGCGTGCATGTGTGTGTGTATGTATATGTGTATGCGTGTGTATGTGTGTGTGTGTGTGTGTGTGTGTGTGTGTGTGTGTGTGTGTGTGTGTGTGTGCATCTTGGGTGTTATCCTAGGAGAGCTCCCACAAAAAAGGAGGGTTTTCTTTTTTCTTCTGATCTGTAAAGAAAAATAAATAAATTTTAAATAAAAATAGAAACTTAAAAATAATCTAACAAATTTTAAAAAATGAACGGACAGTTGCACACAAAAGCAAGCTGCCGTACATCAAGGGAAAAAAAAGAAAAAAAAATTCGAATAAAAATGACAAAGTTCCCACCTCTGTCAACAGACCCGAGGCACCTCTGCCAACGGACCCCAACGCACGTGTGTCGGCGTCCTAGGGCCGGGGCGCAAGCGAGGCAGCCACCGGCTGTCGGGTCTCGCCGCACTCTCCGCCCCGTTTCTACTCGGGAGGAGCCCGATCGCCCGATAGAAATGACAATTTTGTTGACTGCGGCGCTCGCTCCCGGCGAGGCCTCGCTATCCCGGGCAGAGGCCGCTTTCTGGGTAAATTTGCCGAAATTCCAGTGACGGTCGTGTTTCGGTGGGCGGCCCCCGGGCCCTCGGTGGGCGCTGTGCGTGTGTCCCAGGGTGTCCCCCGTGTGCTCCCGGTGCCCGTGAGCCGGCGGGGTCCCGGCAGCGACGACTGCGGGTGCGGGGAACAGCCTAGGCCCAGGCACCTCTGGCAACGGACCCCCACCCTCTGGCAACGGACCCCCACCTCCGGCAACGGACCCCTGCGCCCACACACCTCCGCCAACGGACCCCGGTGCACCCCGCGGTCCCCTCCGCGTTCTTGTGGGGAGGAGCCCGATTTCCCGATAGAAATGACAATTTTGTCGACTGCGGCGCTCGCTCCCGGCGAGGCCTCGATATCCCGGGGGAGGCCGATTTCTGGGTATATTTGCCGAAATTCCAGTGACGGACCCCCACCTCTGGCAACGGACCCCCACCTCCGCCAACGGACCCCTGCGCCCACACACCTCTGCCAACGGACCCCTACCTCTGCCAACGGACCCCTACCTCTGCCAACGGACCCCTACCTCTGCCAACGAACCCCAGTGCACAGGTAAGTGTCGGGGCACTGTAGCGGGGCACTACGGGCACTCCCGGCGGCCGGGGCAAACTGCGATTCCCTGTCCGTTTTTACTCGGGAGGAGGCCGATCTCCCGATAGAAATGACAATTTTGTCAACTGCGGCGCTCGCTCCCGGCGAGGCCTCTATATCCCGGCCGGAGGGCGATTTCTGGGTAAATTTGCCGAAATACCAGTGACGGTCGCGTTTCGGTGGGCGGCCCCCGGGCCCTCGGTGGGCGGCCCCCTGGCCCAGGGTGTCCCTCGTGCGCTCCCGGTGCCTGTGAGCCGGCGGGGGCCCGCAGGGACGACTGTGGGTGCGGGGAACAGCCTAGGCCCAGGCACCTCTGGCAACGGACCCCCACCTCTGGCAACGGACCCTCACCTCTGGCAACGGACCCCCACCTCCGCCAACGGACCCCTGCGCCCACACACCTCTGCCAACGGACCCCTACCTCTACCAACGGACCCCTACCTCTGCCAACGGACCCCTACCTCTGCCAACGAACCCCAGTGCACAGGTAAGTGTCGGGGCACTGTAGCGGGGCACTACGGGCACTCCCGGCGGCCGGGGCAAACTGCGATTCCCTGTCCGTTTTTACTCGGGAGGAGGCCGATCTCCCGATAGAAATGACAATTTTGTCAACTGCGGCGCTCGCTCTCGGCGAGGCCTCTATATCCCGGCCGGAGGGCGATTTCTGGGTAAATTTGCCGAAATACCAGTGACGGTCGCGTTTCGGTGGGCGGCCCCCGGGCCCTCGGTGGGCGGCCCCCTGGCCCAGGGTGTCCCACGTGCGCTCCCGGTGCCTGTGAGCCGGCGGGGGCCCGCAGGGACGACTGTGGGTGCGGGGAACAGCCTAGGCCCAGGCACCTCTGGCAACGGACCCCCACCTCCGGCAACGGACCCCCCTCGGCTGGGGCATCGGGGGCGGCTGACAGCCCCGGTGAGGTTGCCGCCCACCAATGCTGGTGGGATATCGTTTGTGGGTAGGGGGGTGCACGCGGTGAGGGGGGCAGGGGGCGGCCCCTCTTGTCGTGTGGGGTGGCTACCGGGGGGAGGAGGGGGTTGCGCGCGGAGGGCCGGAATTTTGTCTGTTACGTAACATGGTGCTTATGGGACAGTGCAGCCGGCAGTCTACATAAAACGCGCCGACACGTATATATGTGGGGGAGTAGGTTCGTGCTGGAACAGGCCACTAGTCGGACTTCATTGACAGGGTTCGTCCCGGGTGAGGCGAGACTTTAACAGCCTGGTGGCACAACCTATGATCCCACCGGCGGATGGGGAACTCGGATCGGGCTCGAGCGGACACCGCTTTGGGTCTCATGGACTGGGTTTTTTCCCGTGTGGGGCCGACCTTTAGCAACAAGTGCGATGGCCCTTTCTGTCTGGACCTGCATCTGCCGAACTCCTGGTATGGACTGGCTCCTGAGGTCGTGTGTGTTTCGTTCTTCCGACTTGACCTCCCGGCAGTAGTCTGGCAGCATTTGCATGGTGATAACTCTCGCCCCGTAGGATGGACGCTGAGTAGTACGTTGTCCGAAGCGCGCCGCACGAGTCGCGAGCTGACGTATGGAGAGCATCCTCTCTCTCTCTCTCTCTCTCTCTCTCTCTCTCTCTCTCTCTCTCTCTCTCTCTCTCTCTCTCTCTCTCTCTCTCTCTCTCTCTCTCTGTGTGTGTGTGTGTGTGTGTGTGTGTTTACACAAATAGAGTTGATGTTGTTGGCGGGCAAGATTGTCCGGCGGTAAGGGTGAGAAACAAAAAGACTTAACAGGAAAGGGGTGAGTGCTTTGGTGTGCGTGCGTGTAAGCGTGCATGTGTTAGCATACGTGTGTGTGTGTGTGTGTGTGTGCACGCACCCGCGTGTGTTTGTATGTATGTGTGTGTGTGTCTGTGTACGTGTGTGTGTGTGTGTGTGTGTGTGTGTGTGTGTGTGTGTGTGTGTGTGTGTGTGTGTGTGTGTGTGTGTGTGTGTGTGTGTGTTTATGACGAAACTTGAAAATAAAGCTGCAGAACGGTGTCGTGTCATGTCGAAACTTGAAAATAAAGCTGCAGAGGACCGGGCTCTCGACCAATCATCTGCAACTCGACCCTGAATGGACCAATGGTGAGTCAGGGCACCCTTCTCACCAAGCTTCTCTCTCTCTCTCTCTCTCTCTCTCTCTCTCTCTCTCT